TTCTAAGAGCATTAATTTAGCATTCTCTGTTTTGTAGTGTACACGTTAGCTCTGTTGTTCCCTCGTAACTTGATCTGTGGTCCCAACTGCTGTAGTAAACGTCAACACCTTTATATAATTTGTTGATAAGGTCCATAAAGTAACATAAGAAAGATAACTTGAAAAGTTATAGATACCTAGAGTTTTTGTGAGTCTCTGTTAAACAAAGAGGTTAAGACGAAATGGCAACTCAACGGTAAGTCCTAAATATTTGTTGCACTTCTTTCGGTTGTTTTTTTTTCAAGGAACAACTTTTTTTAATAACTAATGCGTGTTGTCTGAAGCGCTTCATGTTCAAGTGAAATTTCAGTGGACGTCAGCGAGGCGTTTCAAAGTATTATGCTGAACAAGCGTTTCGGAAGCTGGATTGAATTTGGTAATGCGCTAAAGGATTTCCATAAAGTAATATGTTACATGTGTAAAATCCAAACTACGGTTTGGACTGCTGAATAGCCTTCCAGGTACGTTAGACACGCGCCCTTTCCCGTCGAAATCATAACAAGTAATCGGGTAAATAGCGGTTCTATAATTCATCATAAATTTACATATAAATCGTTACCTAAACAAATATTACCACCCGGCTATTCAACCAATAATTGTCCAATCAATAAAATCTAAATTACAATAAATAAAGTAGTTGATGAGAGATGAGGGAGAATTACCAGTCACAACAACTGAACGTTATTCCATCCTGACTGGATAGAACACACAAAAGGAGGAGTAAATCAATATGGTTACCGCCAAGAACAAGTGTCAAGTAAAACAACACAGTTGCAGTTCGGGAAGAAACACAAACTTAGTGAATGCGTAAGAAGAACAAAAACTACAATAAAAAAATACAAGTTTTAACAATTTAAATGTAATCAAAAGACAACAATGTACAACTAAGGGGATCAATAGGAACAAAGTGCAAGTATATACATGGAGGGATTTTCACAAACACACAAAACATTCAGAATGGATCATACAACATGTACGCGAAAACCCATGGCTGATCTCCACCATTGTTTTTTAAGTAGATTCTTCTTTATTTTTTAATTGAGGGCGACTCAAAAAGCAGGTGGTTAAACATCTGATAGCTGGATAGAGCGTGGAAACATTGTGCCTAACCAACATGGTATTGACTAGCCCCCTTGCAGCATTTCTTCCTGCACTCTTGTTTCATTTCCTCACCCCCTCTTCAATACTGTGAGATAAGATAACAAGCTAGTAAAGGGAGAGACATCCATGGGTTGTCGTCGAATGCTGATGGAGTTGGTCGTCATTGATTGATATTCAAACACTGAACAAGTTAGTAATTCTCCCTTTGGCTGCGGACACAGAACAGAGGTTTTCATGGTTGATAGTTTGATCGAACCGACGTTCCTATCTAAGTCGATTCTAGGAGAAAGCTAATGTGACAACGTAGGTTTACTAGTTAGGAGTTGACAGCAAACAACTAAGTGTATGTCGAAGCAATAGAGCGTAATTATTCATTAACTCCCTTACTTCGTATACGCATTATATTTCCTATTATCTTACGTTGGATGTTGAAAAGCTTTGCGTGTTTGTACAGGTAACCTCCGCTCTACTGTGTCTATTCTACGAGATAAACAAAGACCTGTTCACTGCTAGTCTGTTTTCTTCTATCAGTAGAACGGGTGTTACCTACATGCGCGAAAAACTCATTCTGTTTACCTTTGTCATTTTTCTCGAGACGGTTGTTGGACACGGAATCGAGGTATTGAATTTTCGGTAGAGAACTCTCAGCCATATATTGTTTCTGTACGGTACTTACAACACTATGTTGAAGGCCGAAAATTCACTCATTTTACCGATCACAAACCTCTAACCTCCTCTTTAGGCTCATCTTTACACAAGCATTTTCCTCGAGAGTTTCGACAACTGGAATTCGTTCCACAGTTTACTTGAGATAATAATAATGACTTATATATGACATATTTCTCGGGCGAACAATGTAATTTCAGACGCTTTGTCTCGTATAACTTCCTTGAGCGATTTCCGAGGAAATGGTCTTCTCAAACTCGCTCAACTTCGTAAAGCAGACACTGATCTTCAGCATGAGTTATCTTAACCCTGAGACTGCGTATTAAACAGATGAGAACAGGCAATTTAACGTCATTATGTGACAGAGCTTAGTCCATTTGTGCTGAAACACTATCGATGCAACGTCTTCAATACGTTGCACGATCTTCATCATCCAAGTGTTCGTGCAACCATCAAGCCCATAGCAGAACAATTTTGCTGGTCTAATATGAAAAAAGACGTAAGGGAGTGGGCACGCCCCTTTATAGGATGCCAAGAATCCAGGATGATTAGACAGAAAAGATGACCCACAGGCTCTTTCAAAACTTCGGAGGCCCGTTTCGACAATGTTCATCCGGATTTGGTGGAACCTTTACCAGATCCAAATGGATACTATTACATCTTAACCTGCGTAAACAGTTTCACTCTATAGCCGAAAGCACAACCCATCTAGGAAATTACCGCTGGAACGATGGTCTGCACTTTCGTCAAACGGTGGATAGCAAACATCGGCTGCACTTCAACTATTACTACAGATCGTGGACGCCAGTTCAAATCCGGAGTTCTCTGTCGTCTGACTGCAATATTAGGAATAACGCGATACCGAACAACTGCCTACCACCCACAAGCAAACGGGTTGGTAGAACGCTTTCAGCAACAGCTTAAAGCTTTGCTCTCAGTTGCATGCGTTTTGCAGTGGACCAATGCTCTTCCACTCGTTTTACTCAGTATCCGCAACTCAGCAATAACTGACGATGAACGCATTACAGTTCATCTCGTTTATGTAATGACACTACGACCTCCAGTAGATTTCGTAGGTCCTTCATCTTCACCAAGAAATATGGATCTATGCCGTTAAGCAAGCTGGCTTAAACACGTTATGCGTTCAGTTAAACCAGTTTTCACTCAACCACAGTCAACTATTGTTGGTTGATTGATTCCTACCACACATTACACACGCATTTGCGCGTCGTGAATCACCTCAACAAACTCATGAAATGGAACACGAAGGACACTTTAAAGTTCTTCAGCGTGAACCCAAGTACCACATAATCTACAAGAACAGAATTAACGGTAGTATCAGAGTCGATCGCCTCAAAGTCACAAATTTAGAAAGAAACACTATTCATACCGGTTTTCTTTCAGTACAATTGAAAGTCACAAGTCTCACAGTTACGATAACTTACCCAATAGTCAACAATCACGATAACACCTCGGTGGTGTCTGATAAAGGACTCAAAACAACTCGTTCTGGAAGAAGAGTAAGGTTTCTACGACATCTGTGCGATCACTGCACGTAAGACACTACATAACATTTTGCTTCGTCTCGACGTTTCAGTATTGTGTCTAATAAAACCACAAATATTTTTGTTGCTAATATGCTTACTCACATGTGCATATTTGTATTTTACTTTAAAAATGCCCAAAGACATCATTCTACAAAAATCGTTTTTGCGCTTTTGAGTATTTACGAAACGCATGCATATGATTTTATTTTATTTTTTCGCCAGATTTATTTCATTATGCACGTATCAGTGTAATTCCACGTAGACTTACATATTCTTTCTTTTTCTTTTCCAGGACGGCTGCAAAAGACGAAAAAACGACGAAGTTTACGATGAATCGAAGTTTTCACTGTACTCGTTTCTTCATTCCTATATTGTACCACATAGGCCCTTATAATATGGAAAGACAACCTGACGCTGCTGAGCATAGCAAACTATCAGAAGAGTGCTCCCTAACGACAATTTTGTTTGGCTTAAAGTTCTGGCTGGCCACGTCTTAGGGTCATCATCACCCCAGTGGAGGAGTGGTCTGCAGCTGAACATAAATCCCCAAAATAAATAGCTTTGTACGCCTTCGACATTTGATGCTGAGCGCATTAGTTTTATTGGACTCACCCAGCTGGGGGCGCTTGGTCACGCAACCTCACCAGATCACGAATGGTTATGCCGTGCTTCCCTTCTCCCACAACTGCTAGACAGATTCGTCACTTCTCAATATATCGATATTTTATCAAATAGATCTTTGAGCTTCTTATCTCCCAAATCCTGATTCCACTGGGTTGGCACGTTTCGATTAAAAAAGAAGATTCTGGTTAAGGTGTTATTACAATCCGAGTATTTGTGATATTTTAATTATGAAAACAATAATTCATGCGAATGAAAACTGTACATGTACAGGGCTATTCATCAGGTTTACGAATATGTGCAAGGCGACAAATCGGATTAAACAATAATTTAGTCGTAAAATTATGACTTTCCTATTTCTTGTCCAAACCGGGACGGAAATACTAATCCACTTTGCATCGGACTTCTGTTAGCTTGTAATATCGTTAAATTACCTTCATCATCATCGGTCGGTAACTGTCACATACGTAGCATGGTTGAACTCTGGTTATTCCGTTAAAATTTTCTGCCTACACTTCATGTCAACAGAAACTGCATGATCACAATCGTTCAGTGGTTAAAATTAGTCAAATTAGTTCTAGTGAGATATTTTGACAAACACGGTTGATTTATGCTCGTCAATGCCTGAGAAAGATACAAAATACCACATTCCTTATACATTAGACGATTCGATAGCCCGAAAATAAACCAATAATTTCTGGTTAGTGCATTTTGGCGAGTTAGTTTTCTAAGGGATGGGGTCACAAACCTCATGCCCGACCCTCCTCCTTTACCCTGGCTTGGGACCGGCAGTAGCCCCCGGAGGGTCTCCAGGAGGAGTTAAACTAATAATTAGCTTACTGATATTAAATTCACAATTCTTATTGCTTAAACAACAAGGTACACTAAGTCCGGTGCTAAGTTACATTCTATGTAGACAAGTGTGATATTATCATTTTCATGTACAGGAATGCAGTTTTTCATATTGGACGTATGAAGTGTAACCTCGATTGTCATAGCAGTATCCGAGTACTAATTTAAATAGTGATGGTTAGTGTGCTAAATTATCCCATAAGTCAACTGGTCATTGGAGAGGTTTGTTCGGCGTATGCTAGCGACCATTTTCATAGGAATCGCTTGCAAAAATTGTTAACTATCTGGAAAATAAAGCTCTCAGCGGCAGTATAAAAAATACAGACACAATCTGCACAATATTTTTGCAAGTAAAGTTGTTTAACATTGATATTTATTAAAGAAACTTAAAAATGTGATTGACATATTTGAAGAAGTAGAATTGGACTTGGTCCATACAGAGAATAAAATAGATGAAATTCGTAGAACTGTGTATATGCTTGGAAATCAGTTTGACAGAATAGGTCGATTCTGCATGAACGAAATTCCATTTGTAGTACAGAAAGGTAATTATTACATTTTAATTCGCAGAAACGCATCTTATTTTCCCGCGAAATGTCCTGGATTGTTATTTGAAGAATATGTGTTAGTGATTTTCTTTCTGTTGCGTTTTAATTCACCTTGAGCACACAAATTCCTTCAATAAAACAGTATTGTGTTTGTCCTTGTCATATGATTTCCAAGTAATAAACAAAAAGACTTATCGAGCGATTTCTGTGGGTATATTATACTCATTTGCCGTTCAACCTTGTATAACTATTAGAATTTGCCACGACTCCTATCTTTTAGACATTAAGTAATAAAACAATGAAGGTAGAAACCAGTAAAGTTTGTATGCATGACAACACGGAGTTTCAGAGTTAGCGGAAATTTATTTTTATCATTCCGAAGTTCTTCACATAATGTTAACTTTCAAACTTCTCTTTACTATCCAAATGTATTTTAAATTTAAATTTCTAACTTATTTGGACAGATTTACAAATCTGAACTAATGTAATCACTTGGCACCTTAGAAGTTACCTTGTACGCTTATTGTGCATATGTGTACATTCACAAGTGACAGATTATATTATACTCATGTAAAATACCATTATGAAAAACCAGTGTCTTAGCTGTTCATCGTTTGCACATTATAACGTTTTTATTATCCGAATACTATACATTTTCACAATGGTATAGCTCGACCAATAGAAGTTTTATCATGTGCTTATTACAGAAGACAGCCACTCATGCATGTTTATTTAGTTGGAAATTCAAAGAAACATTTTTCAGAGTGCGGTCAAGTACTGTCGCTTTTTAGTTAAAAGTGACTGGCTTTCATAATTTGAGAGTGGAAATATTTAGAATGCAATTAAAAAACTGAGTTGACAACAGTTTTAAAGTCACACGGTTCTTAAAACAACTTTACATATAAACCCTATTACCTTTCAGCTACTATGTGCTGAATTAAATATATTTGTACAGAAATTATAATCTTGAAAGTGAGGAAAATCTTCACATATGTTTCTGTATTACTGATACATCTAGGTGAAATTTCACCTGATAATAATTTTAGAGCTTATTGAGTGGGCAAACTATGAATTTAAGTGACGAATTTTACCCGCCTGAGTTTATTTTAACCAGTGAATTCAAGGGTTTATAAGTTATGTATATCAAGATGTGAGATGGTGGTTGGAGGTAGTCGAGAGGTAACTTAGGATCAAGGTTTTGTGCTTTGTGGGACTCCTCAGCACAGTACTGTCCTTGGAGTGTCGAAAAGCCCAAAATTTGGATCAAGGGTCTCTTGTTAATCACTTCTAACCACCACCCTACATCTCAAACTAGTGCAAGCGATATCGAATCGCCTTCACTGGTGGCCACATTGCAACTTGATGGATAGGATTCAATCTGCACTAAGAAGAGCACGATATACGTCAAATTGATCATCACCTAGTGACCAATCGATTAAAACTTGTCCACATTGTTAGTTACCTAGTATAGCAGAACATAAGCAAAAAAATTACCAGTTCAGTAAAAAGCAAAATGCTGAATACTGATGATTGAAATGGGTAATCATAGGCACCGAGTATCATAGTAGAATTTGATGATAATAAGCTTCTTCGTGCTTTTCTCCGTAAGGAAAGCATTTAATGTTAGTCACGGCTGAAACATGACTTAAAAATCGTTCGTTGGTTTATTTGTTTATTTTTACTTCGGGACTTGAACCCGGTGATTGTCGCTTCAAACTCCATCGCGTTATCCACTTGGTTACTGAGTCTAGGTAACCGCTAGCTTGTTCAATGAGATCCTAGAGTCCTATATTTCACTGCTAGTCACCATCATCTCTGCATACAATGCTTGTAGATAAAGGAGTTACTGAGACAATCCGTACAGGATGCACATATGACAATAAGAGACTAATCACTTCGCAGTCCTAAATATCAATAAGAAAATTCAATCAATCAGTACGAAAGTGAACTTTTTGTTCTATTTCAATTTGTTGAGAATCTTAGGATAATATGTATTGCATCGATTGCTTAGGCATATCATATTTGAAAGACTTGTCCTATGTTTCTAGAAAGGAAATCAATTGAATTTATAGTTGTTTGCTATCACAGAACTTGGTTTTGACAACATTAAAGGAGGATATTTAATATTTACACCAGTTAACAGCGTTGTAGTTCCAAGCATTAATAAGCATTTCGGACAACATTTTCTCATATGAAAACCCTTGTGTACTTTATTTTATAGATGAGTCAACAAGCCTTGGACATTTCAAAACAAAAATCCTAACAGTGTCAAAAATAACCATTGTTCTGAGCTTAAATATGATTAAAAACAAGGTAGCTGACAAGACAATGGAAGATAATTAGTTATTCACTATTAAAAGCAACATAAACAGGAATATCAATATCCTTGGATTTTGAACATATAGACAGACCTTCAGCAGTACAAACAACAAAGGAATTTAGTACCGATTCTCTCTAGCTGTAATATATTTGTATCCAAGTAATAAAAAATTTTTAGGAACTAAAATTTAACCGTGTACTCAAAAGTGACCAGCTTTAAGACGTTCTAGTGAGTAATCATTATCTGTTGAATTAGATTTGTGATGCGTGAGGTAGTATCTGTTTACTATTTACTAAGTTGACCGAAGTTTAAATTACGAACCGTTAAAGTGAATGCAAATCCACTGATTTTTCATCAGGATTACAAATGAGATTCAAAACATATGGTTTGGTACGAGATTATTTACTACCATGGTTTCAGAGCATATAAGCTTTTCAGCCAACTATTCATCATAATGGATTTTTGGGTTTGAGGGTGGGGTAATGCATACTATAATTCGGACCTAAAAGCATATTTTTGTTTTGTTTTTTGATGTTGAAAAACACATCATAGATCCTCATGTGTGAGTGAATAGAACATTACTTTAACCTATGCAACATCACGCAGCCTTAATTAAGCATAATTCTTGTTAAAAAAGGATTAAAGCAACCCATGGATTTTAGATAGCGTTCATTACAACAGTGAAATGATTGTAAACAGCGAACTAAGTGCATCTAAGTACTACTTAGTTAACAAAGTCAGGTTAACATAAAAGTAATATATGCATATATATAATAGTCTGTATGCTTTCTGACGACTTTGACTAACCTGTTGATCGATCAATCTGTAATTAATCCGACTACTAATTTTAGGATCGTTACTAACAATGGTTGCTTACTTTGTTCAAGCGTGTTTATGATTCTTGACAAGTAAATCAAATGTCGATTTATTTTTGTAAAATCTAGAACATGATCAGGCTTCTAATAATCTAACTGCTTTAAAATGGAATATCAAAAAAACTCAAGAAGAATACAATAAAGTATTTAATAGACTGAAATCGCTAACCGCATCAAAAAAGTATATTGAAAGTGAGATTTCACAACTGACTGGATGCACGTAAGCACTCACTGTTTATTGTAGAAATTAATAAAAACTTATATATATATATATATATATATATATATATATATATATATATATATATATATATATATATATATATATATATATATATATATATATATATATAAACAATCCGTTTTCACGAGTACTTACCACGCTCTTTCAAGGAAGATTATCAAAACGTAAACTGATATATTGATAAGTGGCTTCATATTAAGATTATCAAAATAACCTTTGGAAAAAATACAAGCTGGCTAGAAACCATATTCGAATGTTTGATGACATTTTCTTCTGACATGAGCTCATATTCGGAAAAACTTACTTTGTACTTTAATCAAGATGATCCTTATATTTTTCAAAACGGATTGTCTAGATTTACAGATGTATTTAAGAGACTTTCTTAAAAGTCTGTTGCATTTGAAGAGGCTTGTATCTTATTCAATAAGAAGGTATATGACTAACGTGCAGCTTGTTGTCGAAATCCTGAACCACCTTAAGCCAAATAACCATTGTAAACCCGAAGCTTCTAATACTTTTCATCCTTTATGGAGACTCTTCATCAGTGCTTATTCATTAATCCATCAGGGGCCGAGTTCAGGGAATCAATATGTCGTTTTGAGCACTGCTTTCAGACTACTGAATCAGCATCCCGCAGATTGAATCGATAACATCAACCGATCTATGATTTTACGCGATCACCATCAACTGTTATCCGTGTGATTAGTTTAAAGTCCGACCAATTACTTTCGACCATCTCGATTACTAAACACTGATCATATTTAATTGAAAATTAACGCTAATCCATATCGTTTACGAAGAAAAGATCGAAGTATTACATTTGTAGTTCTATGCTAATATTAACCGTTACTAAGCCTTAAAAAACTTACTGCGCCGTTGTTTCTTAAGTAAAAATCCCAATTTACAAAGCTTTATTTCTAATTTTATCCTTATGAACAAAAGGATTTACATACTGTGACTTTCAAGAGTATAATTGGAAAATTACTTTAAAACTGCTAATACATTTTAAATTGTACCTAATGTTTATACAGTCTACATTTTAAATGGAATGATGTTACAATTTTGATATTAAGTTCTAAATTCAGTAACAACTTTGGATGATGTAAACCATAAATTAACTTCTTTTTTAACGTTAATAGTTTAATAGCAGCAGATTGGGACAAAGGAGAATTACATTTTTTGGTTACTTAGTTTCTACTTACTAAAACACAGATGTCATAAATATTAAATTACAAGTGTGTGATTAATAACTGATGAATTGGTTATATGTTTAAAAAACACAATTTAAAAAAAGTAATATATAAACATCCTCAGATCCAGTTATTCTTGTCATTTATTAATAAAATTTGATTTTATAAAGGAATAACTGGATGATATATTCTCACAACAACCGATACACATTTGATTCCAAAGAAAGAGACTAATTATACAAGTGGTGTTGATATTCCAGGTAATTCTAGACCGAATAGATTCTGCTTCAAACTCTGAAAAATCATATGATACTGCAAGACCACCTAGTAGGTGAAGGATACAAGTCTTTCATGCCTATTGTAAGTGGATTATTCGTGTGGTTAAGGTCATCAATCATATATATGTGGTTGGGTCAAATGCAAAGATATACATTTACATTAGTTCGGCGTTGATAATACAGAGTCCTGAGAAATAGCATATAGATTGTGGTATATAAATGTATGTAAATTCTCATTTTAGAAATCTGGTGAATGAAAAATCTTTAATTACAGAGGCAGAACTTAAGGGAATTATCGATCGAACAACTAAAGTAAGTTAACCTGTGTTAATCAAATTCTAATTTATTGCGTTTATGTTACTCCATAAAGATAATAAGAGCAATTTTAAACAATAAATTACGTAAGCCTATATATATATATATACACTATTTTGTTGTTAAGGTTTATCAGTGTATGCTACTATTTGAACAGCACTGAATACTTGCTTAAAGATAAATTATAGGAAAAGTGGAGTTCTTAACAAGCGCTTTATTTCTTACTTAATATTAATAAACATAAATTTAATAAGTCAAGTTTTACGATAAACTTTTTTTATCCAACAACAAAAAATATTGTGTGATGAAGTGATTTTATTTCATCTTGTTTGCTCTAAATCCCTCACGTACACACTTATCTCTAATACTGAATAAAGTGTTTTTCAGATGTGAATTGTAAGATCCGTAAATTAATTTAGCATATTAATAATGATAGTCGAGGCACGTATGCAATGACTTTGACAGCTAAATTGATTTACAGGTTCAAGCGTTTCATTGAACAGTGTTAAAAATGACTAGACAAATGATAATAAATTAACTGTGCATTAGAAATAAAAATTTGACTAACACTATAATTTTCTAACTTTCACTAGTTTACGTCTAGTCACTATGACGTTTTTAACATTCTAACATGCTCGTTATATTTGTAAAGGTTAGAGGTAGCATCTAACCTGAAGGCAAGTTGTATACTGGAGATGTGTGAAGATCGGCGTGTTCGTGAAAGTCTGGAAGAAAGAAATACAAGATAAAATATGGTCCGACAACTCTGTAAGCATGTACAATCAACTTTTAATAATGAAAGCAATTAAACATTACAAACATCGACCAAAGCACAAAATCGAGACGACCTGATAAACCAAACTATAATCTTATAGTGTGAAATTTTGAATGAATTACAAAATGAACGATAAAGATGTTGGTACAATTAAATAAAATGTGGTATGAGGGATGAATTATGTTTTAAAAGTTATAAGTTTAATAAACAAAAGTTGATATAAATCTTAAACAATATTTGGAAAGGGGGATAGGATAACGATAGATCAATCACCATGGTAACACCATTAGATTATTTAACTATTATTATTATTTTAATAGTAGTAAGAATTTAGGAGTTTGTGTCCAGGTTGTATTCTTACGCTAAGAATTGGTTTTAGTTAAACAACCACTGAAAACCAGAAAGCACTGAACAGCTGTTTTTTCTTAGTATATGACTCTACAATAGAACCGGTGCAGGATTTTGTCAACGATTGGACCTCATAACATTCAAAAACCAATAAGTTGGGATCCAGTAGTACAAATTTAAAACCTTAACCAGTTATTTTTATTTTTTCTCATAGATTTTGTAAATGTTATTGATCCGGACTTTATTTCTTTTAATTATTAATAAATTTAAGGCATTAGAAACACTTGCAAAAGCGAATGCTAAGTTAAACGAAACACAAATACATTATAATGCTGTGAAACAAAAATCTGAAGAGATTCGAGGGAATTTAGCTAACGATGTTCGCAAAGCTGAACAAAATTTAACTGATGCTCAGTAAGTTATGTATTATACTGTTTGGTGTTAGGCTAAATTGATACAAAAGGTTCCTACTATTTGGTATAAGAAATGTAATTGATATAATACCTCCTAGACTAGAAAGGTAACCTTTATATGTGCCCACTAGTTCAGATACTACTGTGAAACTGTTGATATAAATCCCAAAAGCTATGTTTTTTCAAACCGATTTCTAAAGATTAATATATCCACTTATCTAGAGGATAATTAACAATTACATTCTCTGTTGAAAAGCATAGTTTGATCATCATCTCATCAGAATCATAAACAGTGCCTCAATATCCTATTTTTGTATTGCAAGTTTCCTTCATTATTTACTATTTAATGACTTCGAGCCGTGTGAAAGTGTACACTTTCCTCGTCACCGAAATTGGTCTGCCTATTGTCATTCTATCTCGTTCTGTTTACAAGATGATAATGTACTATGCCTCACTAACCCATTTTCTCATGATTCAAAATCGTTCAATTATTAGTAATAGCTTGATTCGTCGAAATAAACACAAATGTATAACTTTGGAAAGTAGTGTTGTAGTGAAGGAGAACACAGGTGAGGACAACCGAATTATATTAAATGGTTATGATCATGAGTCAGTTTAAGCTAACATTTCAACAATTAAAGTTTCGGCGTTTCGATTTCTTCACTTTTTTTATTGATAATATCATTCATATCAGAAGCGGTTTTTGTGGATTTTATAGTAATTTTCTAACAGTTGAGTTCATGAGTCAGTTGAAGCTAGATCACCATGAAAAACCTGGAGGCACTGCACGGCCGTCTCGTCCTTTGGTGGGACTCCTAAGCAGTGCACATCCACGAACTCGCTCTCGCGGGATTCGAACCCAGGAACTCTCAGTCTCAAGCGCGAGCGCTTAAGCACTAGACCACTGAACTAGCCGGCATCCAATGGTGTTAATGTCTGTCTCCAACTAATCCACAAAATTGAGCGATACATCCACCGTTGTCTTCAGTGAGTTACTATCTTACAACAGAACTGGTTAAACTCCACTGGTAAGTGCTTCTCATTAGAACTCCAAGATATCCATCATGAAGCCATTCACTAGTGAGCATATGTTGATTAATATTATAGTAATTTTTTTTAATAATTGAGATCATGAGTCGTTTGAAGCTAAATCACCAAGGAAAACCTGAAAGCACTAGATGACCATTCCATTTCATTGATTTTATTTTTCGTTATTGATCATAATTGTCTTATTCCCTCTCTCTTCATTGAATAGAACTAAATTAAAAGAAGCTATAGATATTGAACCAATACTTATACAAGAAACAATAAATATGAAAAATAAAATTGAATCATTAAAATTACAAATTCAAACATTAACTGAAACATTAAAACAACATCAACAAATTATGAATGAATTAAAACAACAATTAATTGAATTAGATAAAAATTCTATAAATAAACAATATATATTAGATAATTTATTATTATGGATTAAAAAAAATGAAGAAAATTTAATTAGTCAATTTAATGGTAAATTAAATAATGATTATAATATATTAAATCAATTATTCAATGAAAAATCAGAACAGTTTTATAAAATTAAAATGAATGAAACACAATTAAAAGTTGATAATGATCATTATGAAAAACGTATTATAGATTAGTAAGTATTATTATTGTTATTATTATTGTTATTATTATTATCAAGATTTGATTTGAACATTTAAACATTAAAATTGAAACACGACATTCAGCGAAGGGATCTCTTTTCAACGAATTTATTGTCAAGATGTACAATTGTATATGTATGAAAAATTTTTTTTGTTTTTTGTAAAAGTACTAATTCTATACTTGAACACCTAATCGACTGTAATCATTCTACGGATCCACAGTTTGATTTTAAGGTTGTTTATATGATTCGTTCAAATGTACCCAGATTTATTCGTATCCAACTCTTAAAAATAGCCGAAGCTTTTACCATCCAGGAGTTCAAACCAGAACTATGTGCACAAAAGAAGTACGTCTTATCGTTATCGTTACTTTAGCCTTAATTATTTTGATTATCCTATTATTATTATTATTATTATTATTATTATTATTACTGCACTCCCCCTTTACTTATGTCTTATATTCTCATTATTTTATTTGTAAATGCTCATCATATCACCTTAAATATTTCTTACACCTCTGTGACCTTTATTCATTGTAATAAAAACATTTTAATCATCTTATTACATTCACTAAATCTAAATCTATTGTTATTATTCGTATTACATAATATAGTATCATAATCTTTTTATTACGTCATGGTTAATTGTGTTCACATTTCCTCACGGAATTAGTACTTTACCAAAACATTTTCATATATATATATGATTGTACAGTTTAATAATAAATTTGTGGAAAAAAAGATCCCTTCGCTGAACTTCGTGTTTTAATATTTGTAATATCTAAATAAGTAGAAAAATAAAATTTTCTGACGTTTTGTCACTTAGTGTAAGCTACTTCTTCAGAGAATAAATTACAGATAAATAATAGAAGGGGTTTTGTGGAGATTTTTGTAGAAATTTCAATGGTTGAAATCATGAGTTAATTAAAGCTAGACCACGATGGAAAACCCGGAAGCACTAGACGGCTGTTTCGTCCTGTTGTGGGGCACCTCAGCAGTGCGCATCCACAATCCCTCTCCCCACGAGATTCGTGGATTGGTTGGAGTTAGACATTAACATCGTTAGATGCCGGGTCAGTGGTTTAACAGTTAAGAGCTCGCGCGAGGGACTGATTGGTCCTGGTTTCGAATTTCGCGGGGGGCGGGATCGTGGATGCGTACTGCCGAGAATTCTCATACTAGGACGAAACGGCCGTCCAGTGCTTCCAGGTTTTCCATGATGGTCTAGCTTCAATTAACTCATGATTTCAACTATTGAAATAAATAATAGTTAATATTCTTGCTGTTGCGTTGTGCTATTTAAACTTGGATTAATTTTGATTTAGTTATTTAATCTTTGAAGAAATGGCTTATAATCAGTGACGAAACGTCAGACAATCTGATTTTTCTACTTTTTGGGATATTACAAATATATTGTTTTTATTTCTTAGATTAGTCAGTTTCATGTCCAATTTTTTTTATTTTTTACTTCGTATTTAGTTGTTTATAGTTTTATTGAAAAACAAAATATTGAATTTTCATTACCTGTTTATCTCTTGTCTCTGACTATTTAAAATCATAGAACAATGAATAGCTGTTTAGTTTTAATTTTGAACCCAAATACAGAATATTCCTATTTCACATTGGATGAAGCATAAAATCTTTAGATGACAAAGGTTTTAAGACAAATTTCGATTATTGAGTCATAATTCAATGTATGTAGTTGTTAATTCCTGCTAGTTTATTCATTTTTATTGATAGATTGTTGTCTTCCTCAGTATATGAGAGACTTGATATGTAATATGGTTGTGGATAGACATCCAAAGTTTTGCAAACTCCTGGTAGGTGTTATCTTATCAGATACTAACCATCCCCTTCACTCATATCTTTCTCCTTGTATATCTTCTGGTAGAACGAGAGGTAATTACATTAAAATTCATGCACGCAAGCAAAAGTATAAAAGTTCAGTATTACCTCATCTAAGAAATAAACTCTGTGACGAACAGGTTGTTAGAGTTAACCTAGTCAGTAACCTGTGTTCTTAAACATGTCTGTAATTTGAAATGTTGTACAGATTTGAATCTTTTTTCACCATTTTCTTTTCTTTTTTGTTGTTTTTCTAAGAGAAAATTGTTGAAGTACTTCGTGCTGAGAATCCTATATTGTACCAAAATATAATATAGAATGAAACTATCAATAATAAAGATATTAACAATTACTTATCAAAATTTAATGTAGTAAATAGTTCATTAAAAATGTTGTATCACCAAGTATGATGGCCTGCTTGAACATCTCGGCTACCTGTTCCTGCCATCTAGATATATTAACAATTTATCTAATTTCGTTTGTCTTAATACATCATTATGGTTACTAATCGCATAACCTATTCAGGTGCCTTTCTGAAAAGTGTACAACTTTTCGTCGTAAAATTTACAAAAAGCTTAATCAGAGATATTGTGGTTGCTGGGAGTATGTAGCGAAAGGAATATACATTATTGAGATGTTGATTTACTGGACTGCTAATATCTAAGTTGCGACCACTCAATATTCATCGTCAGGATCGACCACGAAGTAAGAAACGGAAACCTGCTGAAATACTTTGTGCTGTGAATTCCATATTGTATCCTGTATTCTATATTGAATAAAGCTAATAATATTAATAATAATATAAACAAATATGTATAGTGGCTAGCAGTGGAGTCCAGAACGCGCGTTTCGTCCCACCTGGGGCTCATCAGCTGGATGTACCTGCATCTCAGAGTTGATGTTCACTCCTGGACTCGAACTCAGTACCGTCCGCTTCAAACGCCATCGTGTTATCTACTTAGCTTCTGAGTCCTGATAGCCACTTGCTTGTGCTATGGGGTGAAGTTTAATTTCACTTGGTATTATTTACTTGAATCTTCCCATTGATGTTTAGGACTGCAAATGATCAGTCTCAGGCAATATAGAGGCAATACGCACAGTATGCACATATGCCAATAGGAGGCTGATCAATTTCAGTCCTAAACATCAATGGTAAGATTCAAGTAAATAATACCAAGTGAATTTAATAATAAGAATAATATTTCTATTAATTGATCATTAATTTCACCATACCATACGTCATGTAAAATTATGTTATGATATTGACTTTTCATGGATTCCATTAAGTTTGATTAGTTTATTCATGTTTCTAGGTGTTGTATATCTACTTTGATTTATTACAGGTATTCAAAAAATTATACAAATCTCTTGAGATTGAACAAATGAACTCAACTAATATTTTAGGTACATTCTAATCAAATAATAAGATTTTTAATATTTTTATTACTGGACATCTTGAAGTTAGTCAGTTTAAAAGATGTAAAGAATGGTACTGAGGTCGAACCCATAAGTGTACTAAAACGTTTTAAGGGGTAACCATTTTACTTTGATGTCAGTGTTAATTTGTTGATTAGTTATTCAAAGTAATGATGAAGCATTAAACCTATTGTTGTGCTTGCTGTGATTTATCAATAAGATGTACTCGAAGTCTTGGGAAGATAAACGCTCCCAAACTGATCTTGTATTACATTTAAATATGTTATTCAGACTTTATTTTCGTTGTTTTCATCACTCAAACATCAAATTAACCGTAATACTGTATTAAACATAATCATTTTTCAGGGTAGTCGATGGGATTTATTCAGCTTCCAAAAGTAACTAACTATAACATAAGTTATCATACAATTATCCATTGACGTATGTTAATTTCTTCAATACTATCATGGTCATACAAATAATATCTCCATAACATTTTGCGAATGATAATTTTTTAACTCAGTTGGTTGGTAGATATCTTTCTATAAGACTAAAAAGTGTTCGACATTTTAGATTTCCGTGTTCAAAATTTGTTTGACCAGTGAGTTTATAGAAACGAAATTTGTACTTCGTGAACGAAGTTAAAAAGCCTTAATATAGCTTAACTTCTATTTCTAAATAAGCTCTCTACATTATTGTCGCCCATTAATACAAATTCATGCACGCTCAAGACAACCTTTACTTTTTACAGGGTAATTTTATTTAATAAGAAAGGATGCTTGAATCAAGTTTTCATTATTAATTATTCTAGATGTCGTTGAAGCATTGATCACATATGGTGTTACGATCTATTGAGTAGTACTGAGGTAAAACACAGGGTGACAGTAAACCCATTGATCAAACTGTGAAGTTACATCAACTGAGGTAGCTGAGATATGTATTACGTATGCCTAAACACCACTTGAGTTGACAAGTAATGCTGAGTAAAATTGGAGTAGTTTGAAAGGAATCCGGGGGCTACCAAAGCCAGAACCTGGCATCAGATCATCAGGCATCAGAGTTATATTGGTAGATGAAGACTACCTTGATAGAAGCGCATGATTAAATGTTAGGGAAATTAAATAACATTGATTTAAACCAACCACACTTGCGAAGGCTCATGTACCCCTTATCTCCACCTAGATATTTGGGTCTAATATTATTTTGTGTTTTTCATTCCCCTAATTTATTCTTTCTCACCAAATTATATTTCCTTTTTAATCCATTTCTATTATCACTGAAACTACTATTACTTCTCCGACTGCAATATCCATAGCGACAATTTAATCTAGATATGTTAGTGTGGTAATGACAACTCATACCGATGCATAAGCATATCAAATTCCTATATTGCTCTTCATTTACTGGCTGACTGGGCGAGACTCTAATTTATGGACGACCTTTGAACGAACCTTAAGTAACGTTGAGAAATATTAGCCAATCAGCAAACAGTCAGTATAAAGTAAAAATATGTTATAAAAAAACAAGGAAATAAAGTGGATACACTTCCAATACGTGGTTCAAAAACTTGTCAAGGTTAGAAAGAGGTTCAGAGGTTCTAAAATCCTAATGCGTGCAGTAGAAAAAATCGTCCATATGGCTACAGAGTAGTCGGCCTCTGGTGCCATGATAAAGTCTCAAAAACTCTTTCAGCCCCGACCATCTAGCTTCAATACTGTTTATGTGCATTCCGGTTGTTGAGTGCACAAAATGCTACTTAGGAATAACGACACGATGCACATAAACAAGCATATGTAGGAGTCTGTACGCTCTCCATACATCCTGGCTGCAGCCAGTGTTACTGGTACTTTTATTATCCAGTTCGCAATAATTGTCATAATTTGCCTTAGTTAGGAATTATATATGGGGTTCTCATCACGAACTGACATCAGCTATAATGCCAGAAATTTATTTAGCCAAATGGATGAAAGGCTTTCGCGTTAAAATCCGAGATCTATTATCTTATACCTGACTGATTCGTTCACAAATTATAGTCCCGCCGTTTTTTTTTGTTATAGCCGTTCAATTATCACCTTTTGTACAAAATTCCCTGTGAACTGATCGTACGTTAGCATCAAGCACTGAAATTGGAGCTGTAACTTTGAAATCTCTGAAACGCCTCTGATTGGCTCGTCCATAAATTACAGTCTCACCGCTGACTGAAAAATGAAATTTCATAAGTTGTTACTTAAACATCTATTTGCTTATCGATTTGTTAATATTTTACTGCTATTTTTTTGGTTAATAACTTGTATAATCAGTCTATTTTGTATTTGATTTTGATATCATTTTTCTTGTTTTTACTTTCATATCTACAACATAATAATTAATCTACATATCAGTCAAAATGAAATAAGTAAATTAAGAAAATCTATCGAATTACTTGAATCACGTTTACATACTGCACAAGATTTATTACAAGTTTCAAATACTGATTATAATCGTATACAATTAAAACATTCATCAGTTAAAGATGATTTAGAATTAACTAAATCTCGAACAAGAACAGAACAAGATGAGAAACAAAATATGTTAAAATATTTACAACACAAAATAAAAGAGGTTAGTCAATAATTACTGATATAAGTTTTAAAACAGTAGTATATATTGATTTATTTCATGAGTAATTTTTTTTTGGAACCATAGGTAAGAATGAGTTGTGACAAGTTTATCTAAACTGAATAAACTTTACACTGAATACACTTTACTCTTTGATAGATATTTGATTAATTTAAATTATTTAACTGATATGACACTATCTCGCTTGATAGAGTTCTTGTACAGTTTAGTACAGTAAATAGTTTCATTAATTGCAAAGTCAATTCATGATCTATTCTTATCATGTTTCCAATGACATACAGGATGAAATAAATGAAATATACAAATGATCGGAAACGCTTACTCATCGTTTGGTCCCTTTTTAGTCCATATTTCTATTTCTATACTTTTAAAAGGGTACTTCTGCAAGATATATATTTGATTTTATTAGACAGTAACTATTATAATTCACTTGATATTGTTTTACTTGAATCTTTACATTGACGTTTTAGGACTGAAATTGATCAGTCTCTTATTGGCATATGTGCATACTGTGCGTATGCCTCGTCCCAAACAGGACGAAACGCGCGTCTTGGATTCCACTGCTAGCCACTACCCATCTTTGCTTATAATGCTTGTAAATTAAGGCAATATCGAGGCATACGCACAGTATGCACATATGCCAATAAGAGAATGATCAATTTCAGTTCTAAAACATCAATGGAAAGATTCAAGTAAAACAATATCAAGTGAATTAAACTTCACCCCATTGCACAAGCAAGTGGCTATCAGGACTCAGTAGCTATGTGGATAACACGATGGCGTTTGAAGCGAACGGTAGTGGGTTCGAGTCCAGGAGTGAACATTAACTCTGAGACGCAGGTACATCCAGCTGACGAGTCCCAAACAGGACGAAACGCGCGTCCTGGATTCCACTGATAGCCACCAGCCATCTTTGCTTATAGTGACTATTATAGTTTGAATATTAATACCTTTTTATGTTTTTGTAGTAAATACTCTTTTCAACTACAATTAATATTTCATATCAAGCAAATAAGAATCGTTAGTCTAACTTTATCGTTCATTAGGCTTTAGATTGTATAATTTGTGTTGTGGCATTGCAGAATATTTGAAGCAAGTATCCTACCTGGTAAGGACTTTCAGTATAAATAGAATAAGATGTGCCTATCTCAACAATATTATTTACAGTGATTCGTTCTAGGTGTGAGGTAAATATGCATTTTTTATGAGCTGCAAAACCTATATAAGAACAAAACTGGTGTTCTGAGTTTCACAGTTATATGAATAAAGCATTCGCAGCCCAGTATCATTATTACCATTTTTCTCCTTTTAGCTTGGATTTTCCTATTATACTGTAAATAATAATAAGAACTTGAATATTTACGGTATTACAAGGCCTTGATTACTTTAATGAAGTGTTTGCTTCTATAAATATTCTGTGAAACCAATAACAGTTGGCAAACTATTTCTTTTGAAGCTATGAAGACTATTTTCGACCTAATTGATTTGACGATACTGTAAAAGTTAGTACGGTAGCAAAAATATTAAACAACACATTAATTTGTTAATTCAATCCTCAAATTATGGGGTAAATATATTTTATAAGTAGGAATTTAATACTTTGTGGAATATCCATTCTTTTCTTATACTATTATCTTGTATACTGCCTAATAAATCATCAAAATATCAGATACAGAATAATAGCATACCTTTTTGAAAATGTCTACTTTAATCAGATCGGCATGATAAAGCGGTAAACAAGAAATTAATATAATATCATTGTACTATAAGATTTGCCAAAACTTACAACTACTGGCTTTTGTTTATTTACTATGAATAAAATCTATTGTTTTTAATACATTCTAGGATCAACTAACAGACCAAGTTAAGCAAATATTTTTGAGTTATAAATTGAAGTGTAGTAGTATTCATTTTATATACAGAAAAGATTATGATCCAAAATACATTCGTTCACATCTAATACACATAAATGATGCATTAATGCTTAACTGAGAGAAACAATATGTTAAGTCATTGATTCGTTCTAGGTGTGAGGTAAACATGTGTTTCCTATGAGCTGTAAAACTTATATAAGGACAGAATTAGTTTTCTAGATTCCACTGCTAGTCACAATCCAAATATATGAATAAAGCATTTGAAGCCCAGTATCATTATTATGACATTTTCTCATGTTTGCTTGGATTTTCCTATTATACTGTAAATAATAATAAGAACTTGAATATTTACAGTATGATATTAAGTCCTATATAGCTCACATCAGTCACTTACTTTATACTCAGCAGAATAGCTTGAATCTCAATTAGAAACTAATTAGCAATATATATTAAACATGTTTAATAAAACTGCATATCAGTGTTGAGCAGGTATAATTATTTGCTGATGTTTTCCGATACAGATGAGTCAGTAAATGTAACAATTTATTTATTTGTTTAGGGTAAATTCTGAAAAAAGTATTTACTTGTAGATCTCTTACTTTGCATTACGATCAAACTGATTTTCAAGTTCATATAAACATGTTTAGACGCGTGACTTATGCTTTCATTTCGCTTGTTCATCAAAGATTTCAGTTATTGGAATAGTTTCACTACAATCATTGTTAAAACATGATTTATTTTTATGGTTTACTATATTACTAATCTCATTGCCATTCCAGTCACATGACAGATCATATTAGAAGAGATTTAAATGGAATCTATGAGCTAATTCTCGATACTTCATTGTCAAGTCATCGAGGCAATTCAACAAATTTATGAAAGCATTATCATTAAGTGAACAAATAGATTTGGTCAACAAGGTGGTCTGCAATTTATGACTCATACGATATTAAATTTTAAAGATAAATGGGATAACAGTGATCATGTTAGGTACTGATAAACATAATGAGTGGTAACTTTGGGATCCTTTTATGAACTAATACTAAACGTATATTTCTATTGTATAATTATTAAGTAACTAAACTCTGCATATTCATATTCCTCTTATTATAAGCTTTATTTTGACCCATAAACTATTATTATAAGTTTTACCATTCCTGAGTTATACCCAGTATATTAATTACTACCTCTCTCATTCACAGCCACATCTGGCTAATTCTTGCACAAATGTTGTTTCATATTTTATTGGTACGTTGTAGTCTGTTTGATTGGTATATAAACTCAGTATGTTTGAAATATGATGATTCATATCGCAGAGGCTCGAATTGGTGTTCTGGACTTAACTGGCTGGGCTAGGTGAAAAGCAGGGTCAATCAAGACTCTAGACTGCTCGCGCGGGTTTTTCGCGTCCTTGGTTCGATCGATAAGTCACTGCTCTCTAATCGGCAGTCACAAGTTATAACGGATCGTGCTGTTGTGAAAGATATAGGAAATGTGTTACCGTTGTTTGCTCATGAATTTATCTTTCAACATGATTGAAGCTATTTCATATTTCTTTAAAATGGATTTAAAATACTACTAACAAATTTAAATGTGGTTTTTAAAATTTCTTCTCATGAATAAAATAACATTAAAAAACAACTTTCATAATTCGATTTGTAAAACATATCAGATGATGAGCTGACAATAAATAAGCATGAAAAATTCCATCTATTATTCAAATTAAGAATTTTTGATGAACTAAAATTATCTGTCAGTATAGCGTTGTGGAGTTTGTTGAGATCAATGTTAGACCACCATTGGAAACATGAAAGCACTGGACGATCATTCTGTCCTAGTGTGGGATTAGTTGAAATTAGATATTAAAACCATTAGATGCCGGCTGAGTGGTCTAGGGGTTAGGCGTTCGTATGCGAGACCGAAGGTCCTAGGTTCGGGTTCAACGTGTAGAGTCATGACTATGCACTTCTGAGGAGTCTCACACAAGGACAAAATGGTTTTCCAGTGCTCCCAGGTTCTCAATGGTAATTTAACATTGGTTGATCCATGGCTTCAACTAAAATTATTTAAAAGCTTTGATGACGGAGTCAATCATAAATTGAAACGTGAATAAACATTCATAAACGTGAATTTCAGAGTTACATTTATAACGAAAATTCCCATTTTGCCATTTGGTAAATAAAGAAGGAACGAATTGAGCGAAGAAATTTCTTTTCAATTAGTTTTTCATCATGGCTCTACACTAATATATATACGTTTTACAATAATAATATAATACTCATCGAGTGGATGCGTTACGTAATAATTACATAATGACATTTAAATTAACATTGATTAATTGAAAGAAAGAGGATTATTAATATTCAAAGTGATCAAGAAGTTGCTACGTTGCGTAATGTAAGAAACAAAGAAGGAACAGAATTTTAACGGATGGTCAATAGGATGGTAGTTACGTAAGAATCAAGAGATGAATGTTGAGAAGTTATTAAGTTCAAAAGCAACAGAAACAAAATTACAAAAGTTAAAAAAAAACAAGTGGAAGAAGTATGAAAAATAGTTCTTTTGAAGGAAATCTTAAACTGATGGTCAGGGCAGAGAAAGTGGTTGTACGAATCTCTTTTGAATGCAAAGGTCAGGTTTGTGAACATGGATTGCGATGGCTTCCCCAATGTGCAAGAGGCGCACTCGTAAACCATGTGGCAAATTAGATGGGATATTGTAGATAACCTTAAAAGCTTTATTCAATTCGACTTGATGACCTGTGTCAACCAAGTGAGAGAAAATAGAACTTTTAATCACTTTTACCTGTCCTTTGTTTAACCACGACGGATGATGTTCAGTAATGCGATGACGGACTTGCCGAATTGTACGCCCAATATAACTGGCTCCGCAGGAGCAGTTGAAACGATAGATAGACATAGATTTGGCGAATTCAGGCAGTCTGTCTTTGTTGGCTGTTCTTATTTTGGGATAGTTATAGAAGATGGCATTTAATCTGGCAGCATTAAATGTTTTTTGTACGGCTCTTCTTAGTTTCTGAGTCAAGATTTCTTCAATGGTGTCATTTATGAATTGTAGTTTTATGAATAGTACCTTCTTATGGACGGTGGGTATCTTTGTCCTTGTTTTCTTCTCCATCATATGTTTGTCGATGAATTTCATGGGATATCCATTCATACTAAGTAGGTTTCGAATATTATTCAATTCTTCTTCAATGGTGTCTTCAGAGCAAATCATTCTACCTCGATGAGTCAAGATCTTTATCAAGTTCCTTTTGTATCTGATTGGAACTGCACTATGGAAATGAGTGTATTGTCCTGCTGCAGACTTTCTGTGTACCCCCCTTTTTAAAGTTCCGTCTGCTCTTCTTTTTAGTTGGACATCTAGAAATGATATGCTGTCGTTCTGTTCATCTTCTGATGTAAAATTAATTGATGGATGAACGTTATTAAATGTATTAAGTAAATTGTCCTTATCATTTTCTTTTTCGAGTACTGTGAAGGTGTCGTCTATATAGCGATAATAAGTTGGTAAATGGCTAATTATGCTTTTAAGTGGTCCGTTTTCCAGTTTTGCAAGGAAAATATCAGCCAGTAGAGGGCCCAATGGTGATCCCATGGCAACTCCATCTAGCTGTCTATAGTATTCGTTGTCAAATCTGAATTGTGCATTCATTGTGCATCTAAGAATTAACTGTTTTATCGCGGATGCTGGAATCGGGGTTTCTATGCGTCTCTCTGTTCGTTCATTGTAAATAAAATCAACTGTTTCTTGTAATGGAATGTTAGTGAATAAAAATGATACATCAAGTGATAAAATGAAATTATTCTTGACTAATAGATTTTTTATGTTCTCAACAAATTCAAAGGAATCCTTGACACTATGCTTGACAATTTCTTTGTGTAATGGTTTAAGAATTTGCACCAACCATTTTGCTATAGTATGATACGCTGAGTTATTCATATCTATAACTGATCGAAGGGGTAAGCCACTTTTGTGTATTTTGGGTAGGCCATATAGCCTTGGTGTCATCGTTCCTGTAGGTTTCAACATTTCGAACACCTTTTCTGAAATAAGACGTTGTTTAATTTCTTTCAGTGAACCTGTTAATTGCTTTTCAATCTTATCTGCTATGTCGTTCTTCACAGCCAGTTTCTGAAATTTGCTTTTATCATTTAAAAGGGCTTTCGTTTTGTTTATTTAGTCATTTTTATCCATGAGTACTATCCCATGTCCTTTGTCCGGTTTCATGATTAATAAATTGTCATTAGTTTTAAGTTTTCTTAAAGCTTCTGTATGTTTTTTCGTCAAAATCCCTTTCGTATTGTGTCTATGATTTAAATATTTAAAACAACAGTCGACCAGTGTTGATTTAAATCTTTCGAAATTATCTTTTGATGAAGTTACTAGTTCTGTTGTTTGAGCATAAAGATTTTCGAATTGAATTTCAACGTCTATTTTATTTACTGTTTTCTTGAAGTCACAAAACTTAGGGCCTAATGATAACGCTTCTAACGCAGTTTTATCCAGCATAACACTAGAGAAATTGTGTACGTTCTGACCTGGATTGGATGGAAATTTCATTTCTGGAATCTGTTTGTCTAGATTTTTCTTAAGTTTCATTCTTTTCTTTACCTTTCTTGAGTTAACAACCATCTCCACATAGTCCAGATACTAATCTCTTAATTTATCAGGGAGATCATCTACAGCATAAATTCTCTCGTTGATATTTTTTACCATATCGGCAATGTATGAGTTTAGAGAATCGATTTGGTTAAGGGCGTAGCGTTTGAGAGTCCTTCCATTTGGTCTAACTCGAGAGCGACGTAAAGATTTCCAATACAACTTTGGAAACCTGACCTTTGCATTCAAAAGAGATTCGTACAACCACTTTCTCTGCCCTGACCATCAGTTTAAGATTTCCTTCAAAAGAACTATTTTTCATACTTCTTCCACTTGTTTTTTTTTAACTTTTGTAATTTTGTTTCTGTTGCTTTTGAACTTAATAACTTCTCAACATTCATCTCTTGATTCTTACGTAACTACCATCCTATTGACCATCCGTTAAAATTCTGTTCCTTCTTTGTTTCTTACATTACGCAACGTAGCAACTTCTTGATCACTTTGAATATTAATAATCCTCTTTCTTTCAATTAATCAATGTTAATTTAAATGTCATTATGTAATTATTACGTAACGCATCCACTCGATGAGTATTATATTATTATTGTAAAACGTATATATATTAGTGTAGAGCCATGATGAAAAACTAATTGAAAAGAAATTTCTTCGCTCAATTCGTTCCTTCTACATTTATAACAATCTAGCTCTCCTGTTAAACGGGATTGAGCTGTACTGTTTGGGTTGTCACGTGAAAGTCTAGATAGTTTCCGGTTCTCCTGAAAACCAATGTAAAATTACCCTGACCCACAAGGGTATATTATATATCTATAACGGTTTTACTTGAAAATAATATGATCAATATTATGTATGCGACTTCAATGAATAATTGGGTGGTAAGGGTTAGTGAAGTTCACAGTATGATTTTCATCTTCTTTAACATTAGGTGGATAAAAATACCTGGATACACGTTACGGTGTTTCTTGTCAGCCGAAATATAGAGTTTGTAGAATCACTCTTCGTTACAGTACAAGTATCAAATGAATTTCCATTTATTTAATTCATTACTTTGATCCATATACAAAATATTATACTTGTATACAAATAAATATATATACACCTATTTCTGTAATTTAACATAAATCTTTTTCCTTTAATTCAACAGATTTGCTAAGTGTATTTCATTTTTATCAAAGTACAATAAATAATACATTAAAATAAAATTATCTACTTCACTGTGTTACTTTGAGTGTATTCCATAGCTTCTGAAATAACTAGAAAAATTTATGTAAACAACGTTGAAACTAGGATACCCTAGTGAGTATCACTGTTATAGTACAGTACTTGCTGATATTTGTGTTTCCCAGTTTATTCACGAAATACTGATACTGTAGTGAACACGAACACCAGTGGGGACAATCTTATTATATTTAGCACAAAATTACAGAGCTGCTTGATAAAATAGAAAAACCATACTATAATACTTAATTTGCAAAATGTTCAATAATTATCTCGAACTTCGTTGTTCTTGCATTTCCATACTAATTGCTTTCTATTCCCGCTCTTTCTTTCTTGATTTTCCCCATCTTCTGCCGCCAGACATTACATTCCTGACTCGCGTCATACACTACTTATATCAATATAAGTAGCACGCACCACAATACTATTGTTTCTAGATTGTGAATGGTTTTTACTATTCAGAGACAATAAACTAAACTCATGAATAAACATATATGATTACTTCTATATTGCTAACTATCTGATAATCGTCACTCAATCGTCAGTTGAAAGTCAGAATTTTTTTCAAACAAGCTCAGAAAAACTAAGAGATGATCACTGAGCATTATGTTCAAACCGATACATCTTGTTTGATTTTGGAATTCATTAGGCTTTAATAGATATAAATTCTTGCATAAATATTTCATATCAATTGATGATTAAGTAATAATGTTAACAATACACTTCTATTGAGTAATGTTTTTAATTCTAGTAATCTGAAACTGAATGCAATTGAAAAATTACCCTAATCAGGTAAACAGTTTATTCACAAGTCCTAAATTTCAGATAATCAAATTACTTTTGGTACATTTTATTACATTTCTCTTGTTAATTAATCTCTAATAGTTGAATACATGTTATATCATTTAATTAAAACAACAGGAATGTGAAATTAAATCTAAACTGATGATAGATTTAGAAAATAATCTTACAGAATTCGAGAGAATTAAACAAGATGGTTATCAAAAACGTTTAGAATTAGAAGCAACAGCTAAGCAATTAGAAAATAACTATGAAAATGTTAAATCAGAATTAGAAGCTATTCAATTGAATCATAATTATTATTCAGAACAATTGGATATTATACAAAACGAATATAAACAAGTAAATGAATTTTTTATACATTTTTAAGTTTATATATTAAACAAGAAATTAATATACTACTATCATTGTACAAATGAATGTAAATTAAACTCGATTGACTCAAATGTTCTCAAACATAGAGCAGGTAATATAATGGAAACTAATGAAATACATGGAATACCGTTAAACTCAAAGTTAAGTTGAGAAACTTAAAAAAAGGTTCAAAATATTGGGTGAACTCTGAATATGTTTATCTATTCATGAGCTTTTTCCCATTTACTCTCAGGTTAACCACTATTGCTTGTTGATTTGAAGGGATACTTGGAAATGTATCATATGTACTCTAACTATTTCAGATGATAAAGTTTTACATTTTCACCAACTGACGAACCATATTTATCTAGTACCATACTCTTAACTTCATCATTAGTCACTTGATGATACGCGAGTAATGTTTAGAAAAACCCTGTTTTTCCATATCAATTATTGAATCGATAATTATACCAATATTTCTGGTTTTTTCAGTGTGTCATGTGCAATGTTAGACTATACTAAGCATTTCATCTATATATAGTCTATGTATTTTCGAAGTCCAACTCATGTCTACAACTATTTCAATAGATTAATGTGGAGTAAGGTCGATTGTAACATTTTAATCCTACTTCGCATGTAGGCAAACAAAGTTTAAAAAATGTAACCATCCTATCTACTTTAGTGTTTTTCTATGTATTATTGCCTAATGTTATTGGGTCTTTTGTTTGGTGCAGTATGAAAAACAATAATTATATAAGCATTTGAAACTGTAAATAAATTTAATAATCCATTTACTATCTCTAAGAGGTTCTTCCTATATGAAGTGACTTAAGCGATCAGTACCTCCCCCCCCCCCAAAAAAAAGACCAAAGCTGAATTTTGGTTTCGATTGACCGTTTTTCTTTTAAAAAAACATAGTAATCAATCATACAATTTTTCTTATTATTATTTAATTTGTATCCAACAAGTTTGAAAATGAATGGAATCAAGAATATTCTATAATGTGTAATAAAGTTCAAACACTAGATGATTCTCTACTGAAATCTAAAACACAATTCAGTGAATTAAAAACAAGATTAGAAAGAATGACAAATGAGAAGAATTTTCTACAGGAGAAACAAAATAAACTTAGACTATCATTATTAGCATTAATGAAAGTGAAACTACGAGGAACTACAAAATTAAGTCAGTTGAGGTGAATTTATTATTATTCTGTTTCATAAGTTATAAGTCTTTTTTGAGTTTAAATATATTTTGTGAGTCCATTTTTTATGATATTCAATCGGAAGCACACTACAAAATACTCTAAACTTATGGTTTTGTGTCAGCTGACATTCGTAAGGAAGGTGTGTTTTAAATCATCATGAAACCGATACTCAGTCAGTCAGCTACAACGTAGGACCAGGCACATATATGCATCGGTCCAGGTTGCCATACCGCATCAGCACAACAAGATGAACACCGGATTCATAGCAGTGGTTAGGTCAAAGGTAGTAATATATAAGAGAAAGATTGCATATAGAGATATAGTACAAGAAGAAAGAATTGGTTCGTAGAGAGAAAGATATGAAGCGATTTTAATCTCTTAGTTTAAGGGAAGACAGGGAGTGTATACACCGACGCCATTGTGATCGATTCTGAGCCATGTCACCAAGAGTCTCCAACCATTGGTTACGATAGTCACGCGGACCCCAACCAAGTAGTCTGCATCTACCAACATGGCTCAGACTAGAAGTTAGTGACTTCAGGCACTGATGCCACGTTTTGGTTTGGCCGCCCCTAACTTTCTTCCAACCATCTCCAATACCGGATAGCATTGCACGTCGTGATAATCGGTGTTCAGGCATACGTAACACGTGGCCCAACCATCTCAGTCGATGAAGATTCATAACCTCATCAACAGACTTACCATCATTCCCTAATACCCTGAGTCTAACCTCACTATTACTTACCCGGTGATCCCAGCAGACGCCAGCAATATTTCTAAGGCATCTGTGGTCAAATACTAATAGCTTACGAGTGTCTTCTACTCTTAATGGCCATGTTTCGCTGCCGTAAAGTAAAACAGAACGGACTGCCGCGCAGTATACTCGTCCTTTTATTGATAGACGGATATCTCGCCTTCGCCATAGGTGACGCAGGTTGGCAAAAGCCAAACGAGCTTTTCGAATCCGTGCTGAGATTTCGTCCGATACCAACCCATTAGGGCTGATCAGACTTCCAAGATAAGTGAAGTTGTCAACGCGTTCGACTACTTCACTCCCTATCCTTAGTTCAGGTGTTAACGCAGACCAGTCCTGAAGCAAAAACTTGCATTTAGAGGGAGAGAAGCGCATTCCAAACATTCTGGCATTGTTGCTCAGTGCTACCAGAGGACTCTGCATTTTGTCAGCGTCTTCACCAAACAGGACTATGTCATCTGCGTATTCTAAGTCGATAAGTGGACCTCCTGGTAGGACATCAATACCCGAGAACTTAGTCGACGAGAAAGTTATTTCCATCAGTAGATCTATGATGAAGTTAAACAAAAATGGGGGAAGTGGACAGCCTTGACGGACACCACTTGAGGTTGCAAAAGTAGATGATAGTTCGCCATAAGCTCTGACTCGACTAGTAGTGTTCGAGTAAAGAGCCTTTACAAGGTTTATGTACTTCTGGGGTACGCCTTTCAATGACAGACACTGCCACAAAATCTCGCGGTCTACCGAGTCAAATTCTGCTTTTAAGTCGAGAAAGACCACCATTGTCGGACGCCTATAAGTATGCCTGTGTTCTAGAATCTGACGAATGGTGAATATGTGGTCGATGCAGCCACGACCAGGTCTAAAGCCAGCTTGGTTCTCTCGTGTTTGCAGTTCATGAGTTTTAGTTAGGCGTCTGATAATTATCGAGGCTAGTATTTTAGATATTATATTAGTTAAACTAATCCCTCTGTGGTTGTCACAGGATGATTTTGACCCTTTCTTATATATCGGGACGATAAGTGATTGTGACCAGTTAGATGGAATAACGTCTAACTCCCAGATTTTAGCTAAAATATTAGTCAACCTAATCGCTAAAATTAGACCACCATCCTTAAAGACCTCTGGAGTCAATCCATCTGGACCAGCTGCCCTTCCTCGTTTCAGATTGACTATAGCCTTTTGAACTTCAGCAAGAGTTGGGGGACCTACTTCAATGTTCCATTCACACTGTCTGGGAATGGAGGGTAGTTGTGGAGTAGCTGAAGGCCAGTTGAACTGTTCTCTGAAATGTTCCGCCCATCGTTCCAAACGCCTGGACTGGGAGCAGATGAGTGTATCGTCTTTTTCCGATATAATCTCACTTACATTTGACTTATTAATTCCAGTTTCTTTTATTAGTCTGTAAAGCTGTCTTGTGTTCCCTATAGTCGCCGCCTTTTCCATCTCTTTTGCTTTCGTTGCCCACCACTGCTCACGATCGTTTCGTAGACTTTTTCTTAACCTAGATCTGATATTTTGTCGCTCTTCCTCATGTTCAGAACCTGATGGGACGAGTTTGCGAGAATCCATCAGTGTGATAGACTTTGAAGAAATCCACTGGTTCTTTGAAACTCTGTGGTTTAAGTCGCTAATAGATGTCACTGCTGCTTCCACAGCTGCTTGTATATCTTTCCATGCAACATCTGGGTCAGCCTTGTCTTCAGAACTACCTAATCGTGACCTCAGTTGATCCTGGAACCTACTTTTGGTTTCCTCGCTACTCAGTTCGGTTCTAATGGGTCTTTTTACTGTGGCTTTTTTGCGTCCAGTGAGGCGCAAGCAGATGCGTGCCTGTATTAGGGCGTGATCGGAGTCCAAGCAGGTACTCCAGAATGAGCGACAATCTTCTACCGACCCTCTCCAACGATGACTGATGACAATATGGTCTATTTGAGTCCATCGTTGGCTTGGTGCAGGCGGTCGCCACGTTAGACGATGTCTCTCCTTATGCTTAAAATTTGTGTTTGCTAAAAATAAACGATTGTCTGAGCACAGTTGCAGCAGACGGTCACCATTATCTGTTCGCTGTGCTGGAATGCTAAAATATCCACCTAAATGCCTTTCTGTTTGGTTTAAGCTACCTATCTGGGCATTAAAATCACCCCCTACGAGTACTATGTCTGAGCGTTTAGCTTTCTGAAGAAGTTCGGACAGCTTTCTGTAAAATTCATCTTTCACATCATCTGAGCTGCAGTCAGTGGGAGCGTAGGCAGAAACCGATACTACTCCTCGGGATTTGCTTCTGTACAAGTAATGTTGGAGTTAAGTCCGTTACCACTGAGGTACCTGACCTATATATCATGACTGAAATTTGCGCACTCACTGATCATTGGTTAGTTGACCTTTACCTATGTTTTTCACCAGGGAAACCCGGGTACGCTACACTACACTAATCTATAACAGGGAGTTGCGGATAACTCGATCCCTTCCTTTTAGTTTTAAATTATTTTGTTCCTTTAGTTAAACTTTTCTCATACTGTTCAAATTTTTAGATGTACGATTGCTGATCTTACTAAAACAAACAAAACATTGGTCTCAGAAATAAACATTTTGAAAAGGCAAACTGAAGAAATGAATCAACTTCAAACCAAACGTGAATTACAACTGTCTAACTTAATGAAAACTCGTGATTCAGTATTGAAAAAACTAAAGGTAATACTTATCGAAGATTCTTTGATTTCAAAACACTTCATATATCACATAGTACTAGGTGTATAATTTGCTTTACCCATAATTATCTCATTTGAACACTTATCGTAATGCTTTTTACATGAAGCCATTATAAAATAATTACAGATAAGCCTTTAATACTGTGTCTAATTCTCAAACAAAATGAACTATAAACTTGTCATTTTTAGTTTATAACATGGATTAGTTCAGCTTTAGTAATTTTTCGGTTATAATTATAATTATAATTTCGGATGTATACCTGTAGAGTTTTTTTATGAAAATGCCACCAATTAAAGAAAGCACGTACAATAGATTTTGTATCGTTACGTAAGAAGTTGGAAGCCCAGGATGAGCATCTAGGCATTGAGGACAGCAGCTCGGATGGTCAACGCCAGTACATCGATCAGATAGCGGTGATTCTGTCTTGTAACTATTTAGAGACCGTATCCTTTTTCTGTACAGCTTCCGACACAGCTATTACCTATGTGCCACCTGGCTTTTTCGCTCCACAACTTAAATTTGGACTTGTATTGATTACATTGAAACCAGCTACCAGTGAGGTGATTGCGTACAAGACTACCGCTCCGTTTGGAGTACCCATATTAACTCCAGGTACACCCTAATATGCGCCAAAATTATCTTGGTCTTTGAGGGTGAGCAAACTTATTGTTCTAAGTGGGTTAATATGAGCAAACCGACCATACCTACTGTCACGTCCAAATAGTAAACCGGGTTAGGTTTGGTGGTAGCTATCAGTTTACTGAGAATTCTAGACGAGCACTGAGTATATCTGCATGATGCCATAGAAATGGCAAGTTGCTTGTGCCTTAGAAAAACCCCAAGTATAACCTTTGGATTAATTCAGGCTCTCTAAAACTCCCTGGGTCATGTCAGTCTGCTTTAGTTAAACTCGAGTCTGATGATGGACGTAGGTACTTGGCTCACGATATTTCATAAACCTTACGTAAGGACTGGGATACATCGTGGTTGTAGTGTGTTGACACCTTGGCGGCAGTAAGTACGTCTAATAACTGCCGGAAGCTGTTTTAGCATACTCAAGACAGCAGGAACACGATATTTTGTCTTGATTTGTGTAGGGCATTTTTTAATGTGGAAGTTTGTAACAGAATTTATGTGTTTTAAATAGAATAAACAAAAGTGAGGGTTACACTTGTTTAAAAATATAAAACTTTCATATATTGGATTAGAGTTGATTTAGTAGGAAAATTGTATACATATTTTCTGTGGTCGAATTATTCAGTGGTATAGATGGAAAGCCGTTAAGGCGACTAATATAGTAAATTAAGAACTGTATTTTAATATATTTCTAATATACTAAGTTAATGTGTAACTGTGTCAAACAAATCTGGACCGTACACTTCGTATGTTTTTAATAACTTATTCAATCATGTTCATTATGATCACAATAATAACAGATGTGATAACAGTCACACTTATAAAAATTGATACTGAATATAAAACAGACTTCACCGAAACAAGACTAAGTCAAAGTAGTGAATGTTTAAAGTACCACCTTGGTTTATTGATAAAAGTACAGTATAAGGACGGGCCAATCAAATTGAAGAACTTGAATTTAAGGCGTTAAATGAAATTCGAACATTACAAATTACGAAAAGTACAAATACCTTGATATACCGACAAGGGGCAGCTCAACAGTATATGATTTCATGGACTGATGGTTTAACCATCCTCTTTCAACTTCAGTTCTGCTCCGAAAAGTATTGCTCATAGAAGTAGGGTGTGGTTAAACGTACGTCAGACATGCTCCAGACACTTAATACAATAACGATTCAGAGCCCCAGTAATTGACTTCTTAATTTTTTTAAATATCATACGTTTGACTTCAATATTGTCTACTCCATTGTTCCACAACATTCGAACGATCCTTTGAGGTCAGCATCTACAATTAACCAAAAATCATTTATTCAAATGATCTAGAACTTTCTTGCATCAAGTCAAGTTGGTGCAATAGTAAACCGTTTAAATTTTTTGAACAACTAATAGTATTCCTTAATAAAACTCAGTGAGTTTACGTTTACTTTATTACTACTCCAACCATAATTCAAAAGTTATTAACTAAACTCTTAATTTAATCATGTATATAAAGAAAAACACGAAACATTTATAAACTTTAAGTGCTATAGTTTACTCGATAACACTGATTTATAGTGGAAGGTCCATCTTCATGAAAAGTTGGAAGACTGTTTTTTTTTCTTACTTATTCATTAATTTGAAATGTTTTCTTCCGTTTACCAAAAAAAAAAAGAAATTAAACTAAATAATAAAAAAAACTTCTCTTCTATTTGATTATTATCATATCAATCATATCAGGAGGATTTAAGTGAGAAACTCTCTCTTAATATAAAATTATCTGATCAATATATTAAAATGCAAGAAGAACAAAGCAAATTGTTATCATTATTTTACTTAGCTGTAACAAATTCCGTATTAGATCAAAATCAATTATTCAATGCAGAACAAGTGAGTATCAGTAATGTGATGTAATAGCTTAGTTACTATGATTATTTATTATTATCATTTTCACTGATTGAAATCATGAGTCAATTGAAGCTAGACCACCATGGGAAACCTGGAAGCACTGGACGGCCGTTTCGTCCTAGCATGGGACTCCTCAGCAGTGCGCATTCACAATCTCACCCCCCGCGAGATTCGAACCCAGGACCTATCAGTCTCGCTCCAGGCGCTTAACCAACTAGACCACTGAGCTGGCTGGTATCCAACGGTTTTAATGTCTAACTTCACTGCTGAGGAGTCCCATGCTAGGACGAAACGGCCGTCCAGTGCTTCCAGGTTTCCCATGGTGGTCTAGCTTCAATTGACTCATGATTTCAATCAGTGAACTTTCTAAAATCTCCACAAAACCCATTCTGATATTATCATTTTATCAATAATATGAAGAGTTATTGAACATATAATCGATTTTAACAAGCAAATTTCATTCTTTAATAACTAAACTGATAGTTGATTAATTTAAAACTGCAAATATCAATAATAAGTAATAATATGGGTCCTTTTTATACAGTACACTCTTATCTCACTATCAGAAAATAAATATATTCAGTTAGTTTATTTTAAATGATCTATTTATAAGGAAGTGACAATTTATTGCGATACAAAATCACACATATTCATAAGACATGTAATTACATTATATAGTTAATGATATAATACTTAATAGGTTCACAAAGATTAACCAGTCGACTACATCATTACGGAAATCACTGGGTCTTTTTTCAATCATGTGCATATACAAACTATATCTCTCTATTCGTTGAATCGACAGTATTCATATAATATTACAAGTGAAAAGTTATTACCAGTGGAGTTCAACCAGGTCTGTTGTGAGATAGGGACTCACTGAAGACAATGGTGTACGGTGACGCAACTTCGTGGATTGGTTTTTAGTTAGACATTACCAAGTTGGATGCCGGCTCAGTGGTCTAGTTGGTTAAGCGCCTGGAGCGAGACTGATAGGTCCTGGGTTCGAATCTCGCGGGGGGTGAGATTGTGAATGCGCACTGCTGAGGAGTCCCATGCTAGGACGAAACGGCCGTCCAGTGCTTCCAGGCTTTCCATGGTGGTCTAGCTTCAATTGACTCATGATTTCAACCAGTGAAATTCCTAAAAATCCCCACAAAACCTATTCTGATAATGATAATCACTTGCTCACTAGTGACTGACTTCAGGAGATACTCCCGGAGTTCTAGTAAGAAGTCGTTATCAGTGGAGTTCAACCAGGTCTGTTGTGAGATAGGAACTCACTGAAGACAATGGTGTACGGTGCCCATTGCTTCCAGGTTTTTCATGGTGGTCTAGCTTCAATTCACTCATGATTTCAATCAGTGAAATATTACAAGTACCATATTACCTAACAAATAATAAGGTACCTTTCAATGGGATTAATAATTAATTTAAGCTGTAAAACGGACTAAATTATTGAGTAACCCATAAATATCATTAGTTGTAACAATGATAATTCTAATCTTTAGTACAAATATTCAACGAATTTACCAGCCTATTAAATCAAAATTTCAAACAATTGAAGAAGTGAAATATGTAGTTTGATTCCATACAAAATTGTAAGTCTATGCTTGCAGAATGTACACATACATACAAGCATAATCCATTTATCAGATTAACTGTTTACTTGAAACACAAAAATTATTTTAAACAATATATGCATGGGCATAGTATGAATAATGTATCCATACTTCGACCTAAAAGTAGTATGTATTTGGGTGATCATTGTTATGTATCATTATTGATTCGAAAAAGTGTCATCAATGTTTATAAATTGATATAATTCAATATAGTATTTGATCATTTGTTTATTAGATTAAAATGTGTGTATTGTAAATGTTTCCATATACACAATGTTATCAGCGATATGTTTCTACCAAATTTTATTGACAAATGTATCTATATCGGTTATGATTAGCGATATCTACTCAGAAAACCCAATAAACTAATTTTAGCGGTGCTTGTTCACAGTACCTCCACATCACTAATGTAAACTACGTATTCAACAATCTCCACACACTTCTATACTTACGATAATCATCTAACTAACTTTAAAGTAATTGCCGGAGTTCAGTAAGAAGCTGTAACCAATAGAGAGTTTAACTACGACGGTCGTGAGACAGATATCACAAAAGGGCAATGGGAGAAGACTGCTAATTGACTGAAGTTATAAATGTAAACCACTAGATGCTGGATCAGTGGTCTGAGGAGTAAAAGATCGTCACGAGGTCTAAGGGTCTTGGGTTCAGCTTCTAGCGAGATGTTGACGAGTCTCGTGCTAAGACAAAACAGCTGTCCAAAGTTCCTTGGTTTTGAGAGTTTTTTTATCTAAAGTCAATTCGTAGAGTAAACTACGGATATAGTAATCTCCACAATTTCCTCCATACAAGATAATCTCACATATCATTATATGTGAAAATTATATTTGAAATAATCTCAGCGATTGAAATTTAAATAATTCCAACATTTCGTCCAGCTAACTTGTCTGGACTTCTTCAGGGTAATAATCAAAGTTTTCACATATAATGGTTTCTTTATACTCGGCGCCCAATTTCTGTCAAACTATTCGTTCTAATCTTGACGAATATTTGTATAAATAATCTTACATAGTTTTCAGTAGACACATGGGGTATTTGAATGGTACTTTACAAAACAAGAAAATATTAATTATCTCTTATTATTATTGTAGAGATATTATAAAATAACTGTGTTAATAAATAAACTTCGAATAGAAAGTTTGTGTTTTAAGCAATGAAACAAATTTATTATACAACAGTGAAACCGAGTTATATTACATAGTCATTTAGTAGGAAAAAAAGCTGGATGTTCAATCTACACTATAAAACACAACATCATATTGTTACCCTTCGAATATTATTGAATATAAATCAAAATTCACTCTTTATTACAGAAATGTATGGTTATACAAACCACCATAATATGATATAAAGTAGATTACTTACCAGTTATGATTAAGATAGCTGAGTCCAGTCTAAAATCAAAAATACAGTTGTATTTTGAGTATATGGTTTGCATAACATTGTAATGATATAATAACGTACTTTTATACTACCCAGCATCAAGTTCTGTATTCCCATTCCTAGAACCCGTTACACCGATTCGGAGTGAAATTTCGGGTTAGGATAAAATCCAGTTTCGTTCACAATTTTAAACTTGAACATGACAACCAACCAAGATGGAATGGAAATTATTATTTACACTATCTTAATTCATGATGGTGGACATGTTTCGTTCTGTTATTTTAGCTGGCTTATATGAAAAATGTAAAGTCCCCTACGATGAAAATACCACTCTATCATGCTACGGACGTGTCAAGTTCAGCTCACTCAGTCATGATGGAAGAAAAATCACAACACGGCAATAGTCATACTTCCAATTAATTTTGTACTTGAAATCATCCCGAAATATCTACAACTGAATGACTGTATGAATGAAAACATGACCGTATTTACTGACTACGATACACCTAGATGACTTGATAATGTCGAGTTTATCACAAGCTGGTCGTATATATTCGTATTTATTATGCTCATCAATTAATATTTTAGTCTGAATAATTTGCTCATATTTTCATATATATGTATCTTCCCGATTGTACAGATGAGTATGTGTAGTTGGCAACCTACGCATTTATTGCTCATACTCGCTCAAATTTTAATTACTTATTACTTGATGACTCACTCGTATAAACTTGAATATATATTTGGTTAAATGATATTCATTAATATATCTTTCTCATTGTGTGCTTACTAGTCGTTAAACTTGAGATGTGCCTAAATTAAATTGTTGAGACAACTTCGTCTCACCATTTGAAACCTTTTTATGGTATTAACGGTTGTCAAGTTGATTAATATAAGAATTCAAGGGATAATATTGTAGGTGTGTCACAGCAATCTGAAGACTATGGTATACTAGGTAGTCGTGGTCATTCAAAAGTGCTTGCACTATAGCTCTTTCTGAGATATCGTGTAAGAAAGTTATCATTAAGATTTGTCGGTTTGATCTTTAAAAAATCGGTAATTTCTAAAAGTAAAATTTCGAGTTGAAATTAGACTTCAAATAAATTCAAAGAATAGGATGAACGCATTCTACTTTGAATACCTCTTCCAGCTGCATACAAGCATGTTCGGGATGCGATTCTCGCCTTCGAAATGTAAAATGTTGCTTCAGGATTGTGTCGCATCGACACCCGTGCTAATGTTAGGGAGTGGAGTAGTTGAGCGTGTCGACCACTTCACTTATCATGGGAGTTCCATCAGCCCTTGTGGTCTGGTGTGTGACAAAATCTCAGCACGGATACAGAAGGCTCGACTAGCTTTTGCCAACTTGCGTCATTTATGGCAGTGAAACATTGCCGGTAAGAGTAGAGTATATTCGCAGGTTACCAGCATTCGATCATAGGTGTCTTCGAAATATTGCTCGTGTATCCTAGGGCCAGTTGTTAGGAAACGGGTACTAGGTAAGGATGGCAAATCAATGGATGAAGTAGTAGAATTTCATCAGTTGAGATGGCTGGGACACGCGTTACGTATGTCCAATCACCGACTGCCCCGACGTGCGATGTTCAATGGTGTAGGAGTAGGTTGGAAGAAAGCTAGGGGCGCCCAGACCAAAACATGGCACAAGTCCATGAAGTCACTGACAAGTGGACTGAACCATGTTGTTAGGTGTAGACTACCTGGTTGGGATCCGCAAGACGATAGCGACCGATGATTAGAGACCTTGAATGATATGGCTGAAAATCGTTTGCGACAGTGCAAGTGCATCCACTCTTTTTGTTCTCTAAACTTCGAATCTTCTGAATTTTCCATGTTCCTTTTTTCTCTTTCCAGATTTATTTCACTGGATTATACTCCTTGAATAACATTTTCAACCACTAGGCTTTCCGATTACTGCTTATGCATTTACTACCTCGACCACCATGGGATTTGAATCGACAACTGCATCTCTGTGCTAATGTGGTATGGGAACTTGAACTGATGTACGTACGTACGAAGTTATACGTTGTTAATGGCTGACTAAATGACATACAAGCAATATAACAATCCTGATACATAATAAACGAAAAAGAGTTAACAAAGCATATTGATGGAAGAAAGGGTTGTAAAATACCTTCGTATATCGAAATTATTATATAAAATATTTTAAAAACTTTATTAACGATGAGGTATAAAACAATATCATTAATGAAGGATGCAAGTTTTACTTATAAATTCAGTGTATGAGAACACTAGACTATGAAAGGACTAGCAAAATTAGTCTTTAAATCATCGATTGAGAGAAAAAGACTTGTGGTTATAAAAAAGGTTGACAAAATCAATTAGTCACAATCAGCTCACAGTAATACTACAAATATACATTTGTAGCACGTAATATTAGCAGGAGCTATCTGAAACAACAACACAACAGTTAGGAGTGGTAGATGCCTCTGAAGTAAGAACTCACTATATATATATATATATATATATATATATATATATATATATATATATATATATATATATATATATATATATATATATATATATATAAATTGAAAGATGCGGTTCTAGTACAAAAAGGGAAAACTTATAACAAAATAGTTTTATCCATTGTTCTGCAGATTCAGCTTACGTAGGGGTTGTTCCTCTTCTTCCAGTACGTTTACTCTTTGTTGCCTTGCAATGAGAAAAACAGGCTCGTGTCAGTAACGTCACATGTAATGATTCTTGCTACTGTTACACACTGATCCAACCTGCCTATACCACATCAACATAAAATTGCATTACCATAATGGGCATTTAAAACGTAGAAATAATTTCAGTGGAAATAATAATGAGAGACAAAATATTAAGAGAATATAATTCGAGAAAACAAAGTGGTAAGTTGCATACTAAAGATGACAAATTAAATTCATCATTAAAACACAATATCAAACTCGAAAATATGAAAAAAACATGTCATAGTGAATTAATGTCTTAATTTAACACTTGAATTCATTATTCAAGTGAAGATAGACTACTATGGAAAACCTATAAGCACTAAACGGCCGTTTCATCTTAGTATGGGACTTCTCAGCAGTGCACATTCACGATCATGCCTCGTGAGATTCGAACCCAGGACCTATCAGTATTGTTACATCCGAGAGAAGATTAAATCACGAGTAACTTCTGAGACATATTAATTCACTAATATTATCTATACATTCTTATGGTATTATTCAATAATTAGATTATGTATATTTATATCCCTCTTATTATAAGCTTTATTTTGACCTATATATTATTATTGTACGATTTACTGTTCTTAAGCTATGTTCAGTTTATTGACTACTGACTCCCACGTTCACAGTTACTTTTTGGCTTTATTGTGTACAAATGTTATTTCCTATTTTATGGTGCGTTGTGGTCTGTTTGATTGATATATAAACTCAGTATGTCTGAAATAAATGATTCGATTCGACTCGATTCGCATATTAGAAGCTGGTATTGGTGTTCTGGACTCAAGTGGATGGGCTAGGCGGACATAGAACCAATAAGGACGCTAGGCTGCTCATACTGCTCGAACGTCATTGATATGGCACAGTGCTAATATTGTATAAGTCGTATTTTGATTGGTTGATAAATCACGTGATAAAAAGCCGGACATAAAGTCGCAACAAGTCTCACACGCGAACGCTTAACCTTTAGACCACTGAGCTGGCCGGCATCCAATTGTGTTAATGTCTAATATCAACCTATCTTTTATTTATTTTTTCTTAAAATTATCCATTTATATATTTTAATTAAACTAATTACATGATTATTTTGACAGCTTTTAGCATTGTGGGCAAGAATTTTACGTCAACGTAATTATTGGGAATTGAAACAGCAAGCAAAACAAGAAATAGAAGTGAATGAATTATTAAATCAAAATGATCAAATTAATCAACAAATTAATAAAATTAATGAAATCAATATGAATATGAAACCAATACTCTCTATAGAGTATAAAACATGAACTTTTTATTATGTTTATTTAGTCTAAAACAATCAGAGAAATTATCATGTCAATTAGACATAAATAAGATGAATCAATTAAAACTGTATATTATGAAATAATAATCATTCTATTAATGATAAATCAGATGGGGCTAAAAAACAGAAAAAGAATTGTGGTATAAATGTTATTTTTTCCAAAAAAATAAAATAAAATAGTTTCAACTGGGTCAGTTGCGAGATAGTAACTCACTGATGACAATGGTGGATGTGTTGCTCAATTTCGTGGATTAGTTAAAGTTAGACATTAACACCATTGGATGCCGGCCAGCTCAGTGGTCTAGTGGTTAAGCGCTGGCGCTCGAGACTGATAGGTCGTGGGTTCGAACCTCTCAGGGGCAGGATTCCGGATGCGCACTCTTGAGGAGTCAGGGATTAGGGCGAAACGGTCGTCAAGTGCTTCCATGTTCCCCATGGTGGTCTAGCTTCAGTTGACTCATGATCTCACTTATTGGAAGTGTTTCTATTATCTTATTATTATTTAGCTATTCAAATATTATCAGAGAGGGGTTTCGTGGAGATTGTATTAACTTTAATAGTTGAATTCATGAGTCGATTACAGATAGATTACCGTGTAAAACCTGGAAGTACTGGATAGCCGTTTTTTCCTAGTATGGGATTACTTAGCAGTGCGCATCCACGATCCAGCTTACAAGATCCGAGCCCAAGAATTTCGGTCTCGCGCGCAAACTCTTAACCTCTAAAACACTGAGTCTTGGGTTCGAATCCCGAGTTCGGAATCATGTGTGCTCATTGCTGAAGAGTCCCATACTAGGACGAAACGGCCGCCTAGTCCTTCCATGTTTTCCATGGTGGTCTAGCTTTAATTGACCCGTGAATTCAATTATTAAAATTATTCAAATACGTTCATTTTATTTTAGTATGTATTAATGCAACACTTATAATTTAGTTGTTTCTAAACTGTAATGGTTTATATGAATAATAAGTATGCAAATGCTCTAATCGTACATTTTACTCTCCCAACAGGTCAACTGTTATTGTAGGGAATTTAAATGGATAGAAAATTTAATTCATTCGCCATGTGCAGGTAGTCAGGTTTTGGTCATACACAAGTTGTTTTGTGTAACGCCTAGAGATACTGTAGTGAAATTGAACTAGGTGGAGATAACCAATTTATTACTTCATACAATAATTACAGAATATCTTAATAAAATATGAGAACCGTACATTGAATAATTCATTTACGGAATTCCATCATTTGTCCTTCATATCTTATGTGATTCTTCCAAATCACAATTCCTTTCCATTTCTGTTTCTGTTCTCTCCAAGTCGACATTCATAGCCTTCTGCTGCCAGGTTTTCCACTTCCGATTGGTGTTACATACTACTTATGTATGTCGACATTAGTAACATACACCACAATAATATTCTCTGAGAATCCATGCCAAAGTAAGTGAAACGGGATTCGAACCTGTAGTCTACAGGTTGAAAGTTAAGTGATTTAACGAATAAGCACACAAATACCGATGAATAGAAAAAAGACAGCAAGTTCGACATAACTCTTGAAACTAAAATAAAAATTACTCAAAAATGATTAGGATAAACGTCGAAACTGAGCATTTCTATCACAAGATTGTTGTATGAAAAATGTTATCAAACATATTTACACACTGCTGGAGATTGATATTATTTCAATTGCCGACCTAAATAGAAATCAAACTAATGAAAATACCAATAATAACATTGGTGAATAACGTAAAAATAAACTAATTGTAATTGAAGACGAAATGGTGTAAGTGATTTTTAAGAACATAAACAATGGACTTACTTGAATTTATTAAACTCTGTTTAGCAATAATATCACTGAAGTGCTTAGATACTTGATTCCAGCTATTTTTAAAAAAATATTACCCATCAAGCTTTGTGGCGGTACTTGTAATGAAGCCTCATATTCTATGAATTGATTCTGTGTTTCAAGAGTAATAACTCTAGTTGCAATCACTTACGTTAAATACATCACATTTGTGTAAACAATTGAGCAAACTAAACCGGATCTGAAGACTTATCGATCTTATACGGTTCCCTGGCTACCAAGTAACTTCATCTCCTGACATCGATACAATATCTTGAGGATTAAACCGTAATATAAATGGCGCATACATTAGCCCTTTGATTTGAGTGCTTGGGTAGTACCCCAGTTCATACATATATGATTATCAATAAAGAAAATAATCTGCCTCTCGATTTTTATCCAAGCAAGCGATATTTACAGATACATAATACAACCAAAGTTATTTTATTCTACCTTATATCTCTATTCCGTTTTATGTCTACTTTTATTTTTAAACTCGCTCAACAGCTCTGTCGTGTCTAAACCATCTCAAGCCGCTGACTGGTTGAATCTATGAATGCCTACACGGAATATGACTCATGATACGTTCACACGCTGATGAAGATCAGAAGACAGACAATTTCGGCTGTGGCTTTGGAAAGTCTTGACATGTTTGTATAAAAATCTGAGACTCGTTTCCAAAACTCCAGGGAATTACCAAAAATTTGTTCGCCATTTGACGATTGGGAAAGTTTTTTGAGAACTTCTGGTCAGCGAACTGACTGAGTTGTTTGAAAAGATCTGGGAAGTAATTTGTTCCAACACCTCTGAGAGTGACTTTCGTCTCCATCTTTGAGAAGGGTCTATGTCATCAATCAAACAATTACAGGACGGTATCTGTAGTCGATTGCATCCTCACTATTGCACAAAACCCGCGAAAGACTAAGGAGGAGCAAACTATTTTTCAATCGGGTCGTGGATGTATTAATCACACTTCTACCCCCTAACAAATGTTGGAGAAAGTCTCATTCATTCCTGATCAACAATCGTTGTCTAATGATATTAGAGACATCTTCAAATCATTAGGCATGAGTGTGCTCTGGCATTGTCTGTCGAATGAGTGTGCCTGAAAATTTTTCAATTTCGAAGGGTCTATAGGAAATAACTCCGAGCAAAATAAGAGCATACGGTCACTTCTCTCTAGTGCGAAGCGTCCGGGAGCTTATGCCTGTATCTCTTCTTTGTGGTGTGCCATTACAAGTAGTCAGAAATGTTGTGTACCTGGATAGTTGTGTGTGCTTATGTCAAGACGGATTATGCCAGCCTGGGCTATTTTGGAACTGATATGATAGTAATTTGGGTGTAAAATCTCAGGTCTACGATGCACTGGTGAGAGCACTTCTATATACGCATACAAAACCTGACCTCAGGGATATGTCAGACGACTGTGTTCGAACATCGAAGAAATGTTGACATCCAGTGGCTGAGTTTTGGCAATGTGTGCTTGGGAGCAGTGATGATAACTTATTTGGTGTCATCATCTTGAAAAAATTGCTTCAATAGTTTAGGTATACTTAACGAATGTCGTGCCAGCAAATTCCACACTAAGCATGAACTGCCAAATTTGCGGCTGGTTTAAAAATGTGGAGAGGTGTTCAGCTTATGGCATAGTATCGGGGTATGAAAGAAAACAGTATACGATTACCACCTGTCGACCAATCGCGAAATCCTAGTTTAGGTTTCGGAGATGTCACAACTCAGTGTATTGAGACATTAGATATGTATCAGAAGAAAAGCCAATGGGGATCCGACTATGAACCTTTTTTAATCTTTATAAAAATTAAAAAACCCCTTTAATGAAAAAGATCTTTATTGATTATATTATTTTTCGAATGAATTGTTATACATTAATCATGTACATTTATTTGTTCTGTCGAGGATTCTATTTTTCGGGTCCAGTTGTATGATATTTTACTTACTTGAGCCTGTTACCCCTCGTGGAGGAGCATGCACCAAGCTGGCGCTTACCTCGTGATGCAGTTTAGTGATTTACGTAATGTATGTCCCATCCACTTCTAATGTCTTTTCCTCCTCAGTCGGAAGCTGGTTTATTTTCTTCTACAGTAGGCTGTTGTTGATGGTATCTGGCCAAAGGATATTCAGTATCTTGCGTAAACAACTTTATAAATACTTGTATTTTTTGATGGTTGTAGTAGTTCTCCAGGTTTCAGTTCCGTACAGTAGAACTGTCTTGGCGTTCGTATCAAACAATCTGACTTTGACACTAATTGACAGTTGTTTTGAGTTCCATATGTTCTTCAGTTGTAGGAATGCTTTCCTTGCCTCATCAATCCTCGCCTTTACGTCTTCATCAGATCCTCCTTGTTCATCGATGATACTGCTTTCCAGGTATGTGAAAGTTTCCACATCTTCCAGAGCTTATCCGTCAAATGTGATTGTGTTGGTGTTCTCAGTGTTGTATATGAGGATCTTGCATTTTACCTTGTGTATATTCAGGTCTACTGCTGCAGAAGCTGCTGCTACACTAAATGTCTTCAGCTGCATTTACTAGAATGTATGGGATAGAAGATCCGGGTCGTCTGTGAAGTCCAAATCGTATAGTTGCATCCAACCTTTCCATTTTAATCCGTGCTTCGCCTGAAATGTTGAGGTCTTCATAATTTAATCGACCACCAGAAGAGAAAGGAAGAGAGTAGACAGTCTTGACAGACACTAGTCTTCACTTGCAATGCATCTGTCAGATGTCCTCCATGCACCACTTTGCACTGTAGTCGGTCGTATGAATTCAGGATGGTGTTGACGATCTTCTCATATAAGGGCCCATAAAATTCTCCTATCCACACTATCAAACGCTTTCTCATAGTCAAGGAAGCTGATGTATAATGACAAATTCCACTCATTTGATTACCCAACATTCATCCGTATTGTCGTAATTTAGTCTATATATGATCGATCATTTCGTAATCCGCCCTGTCGATATCGACGTTGGGAGTCTTCTAAAACTCTCATCCGCTTCAGTAATGCTCTGTTGGAAACTCGTCCTGGTACCGATGGTAGTGTGATTCCTCTGTAGTTCTAACATTTGCTCAGACCTTTCTTTGATACCATGATATACGTGGTATTCTTCTTTCCAGTCCATCGGCATTTAT